CCTTGTGGAGGAAGAAAAAGTGTCCTCTGCCCTCCAAGATTGTTCTGGGTGATGTGAGAATTAAATTAACATGAAACAGATTAACAGGGAAAAAAAAAAATTCATATGCACAGAGGTCTCGTAGATATGGGACCTAAGAAGTACCAAGGTGGGCAGCTGTTATACTGTCTAGACAAAGGAACATAAGTTTAGGAGGAACTGACAGGACAAAGAAAACTTATGTTTGGGACCATCAATCAGCAAGGAATCTAAACAGAATTTGGGCTGGGGTGGTAAATTAGCAAAAGTAACTAGGTTTGTTTATGTAGGCTTCTTCGGCCCTGAATTCCCTGCCTCTGATGATAAGGTTGTCTCTCTTCCTCCCAGTGTCGGGAGGGTACCTTTCACATGAGAGATTTATAACCTCCTTTCTAGAGACCTTGGACGGTCAGGCTGTTTTTGTTATACAGGCTGTTTCTTACATAACGTTAATTAAAAATAATCATTATACCATCGTGGCGTATTTTGGGGCATCCTGCCCTGGACTCCCACACTTTCTAGCTAACTTCTCATTTTCTACTTCCCTTTATTTACAGTGAAACCCCTTCTCTAATTCCCCTCTCAGTCTTTCTTAAGCGCTCAAAGCAGCCTTTGTCCCTACCACTCAGCCAAGGTCACCAGTGTTCTGCACAACCAATCGTTGAATATCTTACTTGACTTATCAACTATCTCAGACACAGACAACGTGTCTGGAGTCCTCCCTTGAAACACTCTTCCCCCTCGGCTTCCAGAACCTCCCACTCTCCTCCTTTTCTTCCTGCTTCACTGACTCCTCCTTCTCAGGCTCCTGTATGAGTTCCTCCTATACTGTAGGTTTCAGTTTTCAAACCTCTTTTCCTCCCTAGCTTCACCTTCTCCACTGGTAACAATATCCAAGCCAAACGGACACCTCCAGCCTGGCCCACTCCCTCCAACTCCAGACCTGTTTATCGAAATCCCCATTCAACATCTCAGTTTAGATATACATAAGGAATTTCAAATGTAACAAGCCCCAAATCAAACTCTTGTCTCCCACCCCCCAAACTTGTTTCTCCTAAATTTTCTCCATCTGAGTAAATGGCAACTTCATCCTTCCTGTTGTTCAGGCCCAAAACTACAGAGCTAGACTTGCCTTCCCTCCTTTTTCTCATACCCCATCTTCTCTCCACAAAGAAATTCTACCATCTTTACTTTCGAAATGGACCCGGAAAGCTGACCGCTTCTCATTTCTCAGCTATGTCACTCTGGTTCAAGCCTCAACCCCTGTATTATTCAATAACCTCTGAAATAGTCTCTTGGCTTTCACTCCTGCTCCACACAGTCTATAGTAAGATGGTGGGAATTTTCTGCCCAAACCCCTCACAATGACTCCCATAGTAAAAGCCCAAGTCTTTTCAATGGTCCCCGACCTACTTCTCTTTCTTCTCTGACTCCATCTCCTGTGTCTGTCTCTCTTGTTCACTCTAAGCTAGTCATACTCACCTCTTCATTGTTCTCTCTGTTCAGAGTTTCCTTCCCCCAGATTCCTATATGGTGCTTCCACCACCTCCCTCTGGACTTTGCTCAAATGTCAAAGGGACTTTTATCCCTTCTAGGTTCTCAGCTGGGTCTCTGTAACAAAAGACGGACTGACTAGAGAAAAGCATACATATTAGCCAGAAGAGGGATGCCTGGGTGGCTTAGTCGGTTAAGCATCTGACTCTTAATTTCAGCTCAGGTCATGATCTCAGGCTCATGAGATCAAGCCCCACACTGGGCTTGATCTGTGGGGCTCTGTGGGGGAGTTGCTTCTCTCCCTCTCTCCCCTGTGCCCCGTTTTCTTGCTCTCTCTCTCTCTCAAATAAATAAATAAATCTTAGGAAGGAAGGAAACAGAAATGAAGACATAAAGCAAGGTTAAGCCTGAGTGTTTTTCACTCTGGGTTTGATGAAGACCGGTAAGACAGATGGTACCAGCTAAGGGTTATAAACTGGGGGAACTTAACAAAGCCTGTTTGTTTGGATTCCTCTCTGATTCCTGGTGTCTTTGGAGATAAGGACGCCACTTTCTTCAGGGTTAGAGGAGGGCCTTGTGACCTGCCTCAGGGGAGGCCCCAAGGTCATTCTAGGACCTGCCATTTCAGAAGCCCCTTTGGTTTAAAATATTGGGCATGCTGTGGTGCCATATTCTGGGGTAGTGGGTCTCAAACCCTGTGACTACCCCATTTAAAATTCCAACCCACAGCCCCCGCACCTTCCCCATCCAACAATCATGTTCCTCTTCTACCTAACATTTTATTTTACTTATTTATTTATTTATTAATTTTTCAGTTGTCTGACTTCCCCGACCAAATGTCAACTCCCTAGGGCTAAGGCTTTTTTTTTTTTTTAAATATGTTATTTATGGCTATATCTCTAGCACCTAGAACAGCATCTACCACAATTATTTACTGAATGAATGAAAGAACTAGTGGATGGGCCACAGAGAGTGATCTGGACATATTTTATCATATATTACTATATACCTGGCACTCTGGGTCTATCTTCTCATTTAACCCTTACATCTAGGTAGTGATTGTTACTATCATTATTTTGCCGACAAGGAAAATCAAGCCACAAAACTGGTGACTACCGACATCATGCAGCCATTAACGACAAAATTCGTTACCAAACCCAAGTCTGTGTGGCCCCAAAGCTCCTGTATTCGCAGCTTCATAGCTCTGGCTCCAATTCACACCATCAACAGATAAGCAGTCACCATATCTCAAATCCATATCAAGGTTTAAGCAGAGGTAAGCAAGGTTTAAGGTGAGGGACTGGGTCAGTTCTGAAGGCCACGCCCTAGGCATGAATTTCACCTAACCCCTTTGTACAGCCTGTTGTGAGCCACGTTGTTTTCTGTACCGTTTCAAACATCTGGATATTCGGACCAACCTGGATGATCCGTTTACCCAAGACTTTCTGCAGGTTAACATCTGTTCTAAGTGGCGTTCGTATTCTTTCCAGACATCTGCCTGCAATAAAAACGGAAGTTGACTCTGAGAGCTACAGGTGATTGTTATAGAATGTTTCCGATAGAACAGACAAGAAGCCCATGACCGCATCACCTCTGGAAGGACAAATGAGGGATTGGGAACAAATAAAGAGAAAGGACTTGTCGCTCATACGACCTGTACCTTTTGAAGTTCTGTGCCATAAGGATTAAGGACCTGCTGAAAATAAGCAAAATAACAATGGCAGTGCGCCCTGTCTGTCCTCCCACCCAGAGGGCAGTGAAGAGGACACACCCGACGGTCCTACCCCACGGTCCCACTCCACGGTCCCACCCCACAGTCCTAAGTGTACCCAGGCCCTGAGCACTCGGTCAAGGCAAAGTCATTCGGGTTTGCTCTGGGCCTCAGCTCCATCATCTGCAATGGGAAAGATAATGATTAGAGCTTGCCTGACTTGATCAGTGGGGTCTATTGTGAGATTCTAAGTGTAAAACCTTCTACAAACATCCGTATTCCTTATCATTTAGGGGACATTAGGTGGCAAAGAAAGCAAGCCAGCTCACGGAGCTACGGAACACGAAATGCGACCCGAAGAGCAGCAGAGTATACTGTCTCCACATACTGCAGTAAGTTTCTAGAAGTAAGAAAATCGGTGGAAAATCTGTTTGGTCTCAGACAATTTTATTTTATTTATTTTATTTTTTTAAAGATTTTATTTATTTGACAGACAGAGATCACAAGCAGGCAGAGAGGCAGGCAGAGAGAGAGAGAGGAGGAAGCAGGCTCCCTGCTGAGCAGAGAGCCGGATGTGGGACTCGATCCCAGGACCCTGAGATCATGACCTGAGTGAAGGCAGAGGCTTAACCCACTGAGCCACCCAGGTGCCCCATCAGACAATTTTATTTTAAATGCAAAGAGGATAAGCAAGATTATCATCTGCATCATTCCAGATCTTCTGTTCTTTGGTCTTAGAATAACACCAATTCTGATCATCTTCCCTAAGACCTCACAAGGCCTTTCACTCTCACGATGCGCAGACGAGCTGGAACCTGGAGAACTGGAGAGATTTGAAACTTCATTTCTAGAATCAAATAATGGCCAATTTTCAGTTATGTAATACACGGCTCTGAATTTCAAAATGCTGAAGTCACCCATTAGGTTCTAGATGCAGCCTTGCCTTGAGACACATAACGAGTGTATGAAAAACCATGGGGGAAGAAATGCAAAATAACCTGATTTATGGTTATTGGTAAGAGAATAAAAACAATGTGTGATGGGTGGAATTCGTGAGCCACACACTAAGTATTCAACAAAGTAACGTGAAACGACATTTCTCAGGAAAAGGCAGCTAGGCTGCTTTATAGGCCGGTTTACCCAAATAACACAGTATTAAAAAACAAACAAATAAACAAACAAAAACTAAGTGCAGAGGGAGTGAATTTCTGAACTGTTTTGGAGCCTATTACTTGGTGAGGAAACACTCAGTCTTAAAGTGTTTAAAACACCATAGATGGTTCACAGTTTGGGGAAAAACTTTTTTTAGAGCTTCATTTCTTCATTTTTCCTTTCTTCTGATTCTTTCCCTCCTTTGCTTTCATCTTGGTATTTGTAGGAAGTGAGTATTTCTTGGCCTCCAAATCATGTCCTTTCAGACCCCAGAAAACAAAACCAGGCGCTTATCTTAACCCAGGGGAAGACCCCGCCCCCTCCCCGACCCCCTCCTCTCCTTGCTCCAGTTCCCTGGGGGTTTCCCCAAACCCGTGGAAGAGCAGGGGGGGATCAGCAGGTCCTTGTGGGTCTGCCAGGTTCTGAGCTCACCCGGGCCTATCGTCCTCTGTGTCCGTGGCCTGGGCTGCTCCCCTACACACATGGCCATGGAAGGTCAAGGGAAAGGATTTGAAAGTGCCCATGTAAACTAATGCAGCACACAAAAGTGCAGGATTATTACTATAAAAAATTAATTAGAAAAGGGGGCAATCTTCTTATCATTTCCTCATTTCCCTTTCCTCACTTCCTCTTTCTCTGCCCTCCCCGCCCATCTTTCTCTCCTTCCCCACTCTGCTTTCTCAACGGGGAACACATACAAGGTAAGAAGAGCCCAGAGTCTTGAATTGTTAAAACAGAACAAAGTTTAAGAGTCCATATAAACTACACCCAAATTACTGAGAAATGTGAAATGAAAACCAGCTCGGCCCCAGATTCCAGGAAAATGCTACATTTTGGGTTTACTTGATACTTTGTGTTTTCACATGGGTCATGTCTTCAAGCTTTGGTCATTAGTCTTCCACTTCCTAATGCAAAGAACTAAATGCTGACTCGTGTCATTTGCCTCAGATACCACCGGAAATGGCATCTTCTCCCCAGCCGCTGGCTCGCGAAACTAGCAGCACGCAGAGGTGAACTTATCTGCCTAGCAGCCGGGGCTCTGGGCTCTCCAAATCCGGGCTCTCCAAATCCTGGCCCTCGGATCGACAGCGGACAAAGGAATCTGTCCAGGGAAGAGATCTAGAGTCAACTGAGAGGTACACTTTTATCACCAGTTACTTTAATGAGTAAGTACTTTGCAGTTTTCCCATTTGATTTTAAGCATTAATTTCACATTTCTGAGCAGCCTTTCTTAGGCTCCTCCCTTCTTGGGCACTTACTTTAGAGCGGAATCACCAACCCATCCCCTTCACCCTACCCCCACTTAACTGGACAGCCAGAACGAGACAACTGTTATTTTGTAAGGAGAAGGATTCATGATTGATAAACTACTCTATCTCTGAAAACATACAGTAAAGAGAGACAAGACAGTTGTGAACAGGAGAAAGGACGAGAAGCATCTGTTGTCTGCGCAATCTTGTAGGTTGTGGTTGACCACAGAGGCTTGGCGTCAGTCTTGACTCCCAGCTCTGCTTTTTATAAAATAGATGACCTTGGGCGGATGACTCAATCTTCCAAACAATTTTTCGGATGTGTAAAAAGGAGAAAAAGAAAATACCGATGTCACAGGGTTCTTAGGAGGAGTGAAGAGATAGCTGAAACACGGAGCACACGGGGTGATGTGGATACTAAACATTACAGAATAACAGGTGAAATTAGCATTTCTAAATAATAAACTAAGGCCTCCATTCAACCGGAAAGCTCTCTTAACTAGTGAAACCCATCCCTCAAACGTGCTGAGGTGGCTCAGAATAACAATGATTAACATTTGTAAAGTTGACAGAGCATCTCATCTGATTTCCACGATGAACCCTAAGGTAGGCAGTTCCAGGCTGTTGACCCGATTTTGTTAGAAGGGATAGGGGAGAAGTTGAGAGCCCGGCTGAATGTGACAGTAGGAAAAGCAGCTCAGGGGTCCAAACTTCCTGCTGAAGGGAAGAAAACATGACTGGGGAAAAGCCAGTATCAGACTGAGTGCAGACGTTCCTTTCTCCAACTGAACTTCTCACGCCTTGGACCTTGCCCCTCTTCTGGTTCCAAGCCATAGCGTTCGGAATGGGCAAAATCCTCAGTCCTGCTGCCAGCACCCAGAGCAGTGGGAACGCAGGCCTTCCAGAACTTTCTACAACAAAGTATGGCCAGGGAGAAGGCAGACAGAGACTGACTCTTAGAATTCCCTTTTCAAATTCAAACCCTTTTTTCTCATAGAAGCACTATTGCACTTAGCATTCAGATACTACATTGTTAACAAGAATAACAGCAGTAATAAAAGAATCTCCATTTTAAGAGCTCTTTCGCTCTTAAAGTATTGGATAAGCACTGGAGGCCATTTCTCCCATTTAAAAGCTGAAGTGAGCATCTCTCACAGAGATGAAGCGAGCTCTGGACATAGCGAACCCCCAGCCTGCCAACTCGGCCTCACGTTCACATCCCCCCCTTCAGTTGGTTTTTGTGGCCATTCCTGGAGACAGAATTTTCAGAATCCAACCTGTCCATCAGTTGAAAGCAACTTCGTCATCACTGGCTCCCCCTTCCCCTTCCTTTCAAACCGTGGGAACTTTTTGTTCAACCACCGGTTAGAATCTGGGAATAGTCAGCCTAAGTCTAAAAAACCTGAGGCACAAAGAGAGCTTTAGCGCAGCACTGACTTTTCCAAGGACTCACAAGGAGGAACAGTTAACTATCAGTGATACGAGCGCACCTAAGTTAACTTCATCCCCGCTCTGTCTCCTCAAGGGAAAAACTTAAAGCTGTGTACAAAACATGGCTTTGTTTTGTTTTTCAGCAGAGAATGAAAAGGAAAACGAGATGCCAATATTTTTTTTTCTAGATAAGACTATTTTTTCCTCTCCATCTCCACTAATTATTTACGGCTGGGGTTAAAAGCTCAGGCTGTGGAGCCATATTTCCTCCTAAAGAAACAAAACAGTCTCTGAAGCTGATCTCATCCATCAGAAGATTCATTGGCAACGACAGACAGTTCTGTCATTCGCTGGCTGGACAGCCTTGGGTGATGTACATAACCTCTCCAAGCCTCAGTTTCCTTCTCCATACAATGGAGAATATAAGAGTTTCTACCTCACCAGGTTGTGGGCAGAGAGAAGACTTGGAACACAGTAACTGCTCAGTGAATACTAACCAGTATGCGGAAGGCATTGGGCCTCGAGGGATAGCAGAATGGGTGAGACCCACCTCTGCCATCCAGGACTAGGATATACCGGGGTTGGAGGGCACATGGATGGTTAATCATAGTACAAACCAGAACCGAGTGCTCTCTAAAGGGGGTCACCATTAGAATCAGATTTCTCTGGGGAGAAAAAGACTTTCAGACAGACCTGCATTCGAGCTGGATCTTAAGGCAGAAACAGAATTTCAGTAGAGGAAGGGGCTAGGGAACATGGACGCTGAGCCACAGAGCAAAGACGAAGAGATGAGAAAACGCTCTCTGGGGATACACGGGCTCCAAAGCTCATCCACAGGGGTCGGGGAGCTGCAAAGGACGAAGCGTCATCTGCTAGGTTAAAAAACAAAGTTTCTCAATACAAAATGCTGGGAGTCAGGCGCTATAGCATACCAAATGAAAGTGAAGGCAGTAAAGTCAAAACCCCAGAGGATCACATTTTAGGTAAGCAAACACAACCTAACAACAGACCATTTTAGAAGTCTTTCAAAGTGAAGACACACTTCTTTAAGGATTAAGGATAATTAATGGAAAGTAAAAAAAAAAAGTTCATCATAAAATCTAAGAAAACAGAGGTGAAATTGGGTCACTGGGCTCAGCTTCCCAAAATATATTGCAACATCCTCCTCCCTAAACCCTATCCTCAAGAATTACATCTCATTTTTGTAATGCCAGGAAATAGTTGAACTGTTCTCCATCCAGGCTCTCATTCAAGGATTTTGAGGTTTTCAGGAATAGTGGAAGCAGCCGCGGTCATGAACCATAAAAAATCCCTTGATACACGCATTTCAGAAACAGAGGTTATTTCCACCTGGTTCTCCCCAACCACTGTTGCACGCATAAATGATAACAGCAGCTCTCGGAAAACGGGAAGCAAGAATACGCGGCCGTCATTCCCACAGGTGATCGGTTTTTACCTTTAGGAAGATTGTCCAAAGGTCGCAAGAGAATTATCTCAGGAATTCAGCCACAGTTTGATGGTAGGATAAACGGGCGTCTAGAGAATTTGAAAGTGATAAGAGGCCCATACAGACGGTTCCTCCTTGCCCCCTCCTTCTCCCCGCCCCCTGGGAACTTTATTCTACTCACCTGAATAGGTCTGGAACTCAGGAGAAAAGTTTGGGCTGGCTAAATTCGTTGAGCACTTAAAAATGCGGCAGACCTCACGCTAATGGATTTGTTCAAGTAACCCTCAATTCATAATATTGTTCTCGTTTTGTTGATGAGGGCTCTGAAGTGCAAAAAAAATTTTACGTAAGCTGCCCGGGGTCGCAGAGGCGAGCAAGCAGTGCAACCGGATGTAAACCCAGGGGGCTGACTCCGGGGCCCCCTCCGAGCTGCTGCGCTTTGCCACAATTCAGGAGTCATCTGCATACAAATGGTGATTGATAAGGAGACCGAATAATTTGTTTCCATCCGAAGTGGGACTTTTTTTTGGTGGGGGGAGGGGTGCCCTTAAGAACTGCGCGGGGAGAACGGGGCAGGGGGGTGGTAAGCCAGAACCGTGTAGGGCAAATTGAGCAGTGTGATCACCGTGTTGACGGATGCCGTGAGAGTGGACAGACTTACCGAGGGAAAGAAGGTTGAAGAAAAGAAGAAAGGAGACGATTAGTGGGTCCCGAGAGAGACCAACAGTTGGGGAATTGCCCGAGAAAGAGAAACTGACACAGGATCCTGGGGGAGGTGAGCCGGGAGACAAGGGTGTCAGTCTCGGGCAGTTATCCGAAGGGAGTCACCCTGGGGGGCCCTGGCCCCCTGAGGAGCTGGGAACGAGGCTGGGGTGATAAGGACCAGGAGGTGGCCATTGACAGGGTCGGTGGGGAAATCACTGGTCGTTTACTGACCACCATTTCTCCGGGTTGGTGGAGTTGGAAGCAGCATTTAAGTAAGAGGAGGAGTGAGTGGGAGGTGAGGACCTAGCCACAGGCAGTGCAAACAACTCTTTTTGAAAGTGGCCTTGAAGGGGAAGCAAAAGATAGGACTGTCTGGAGGTGGAGTCAAAGAAGTTTCCTTTTTTTCTAAAGCAAGAAACCAGAATGTGTTTAGTGCTTAAGGGAAGGGACCTGCCAAAGAAGAGGGGAGAAAAAGTAGAATGCATAATAATCCGCTCTCCAGGGGACATTCTGGAGCAGAGTTCCTGAGAAGGTGGAAGGGCGAGGCGCCTGAGCTGAGGAACTACCTTTACACCTGAGGAGGTAAAGCTCTGCCCCTGTGGGAGGGAGGAGAACGGGAGTGTGGGCAGGAAGGTTCCATGGAGGGAACGGGGAGCGAGGTGCTGTCTGCAGGCTTGGGTTTTTTCCGGGGTCCCTGAGGGGAGAGGTGGTTGTGCCCAAGGTTTAAGGGTGCCTAAGGCAAGGCAGGCACCGTACTAGGCCCTTCAAAGACATTGACGTGATCTCTTTTCCTCTTCACTGTTGTTCAGTGAGGTAGGCGATCTTACTTACCCTTGTTTGACACCAGAGGAAACGGTGGCTCAGCACTGTGGGCAATCAGCCTAAGAGCTCACAGCTGTTTGGGGCCAGAGTCCACATCTATCTTCATTATCTACTGGAAGGGAAAGCCCACTCCCTGCCTTTCCGTTATCTTGCAGGCTTCGGGGAGTAATGGGGAGGGAGTTAGCGGATGTCGTTTAAATAATGGTTTGAGACCAGAATGTGGGAGTTCGTCAAAGACTGTTCAGGATTGAAATCCTATTTTTGTTTATAAGAACTGCTTTTTTTTTAAATTTTTTAAAGATTTTATTTATTATTTATTTGACAGGCAGAGATCACAAGTAGGCAGAGAGGTAGGCAGAGAGAGAGGGGGAAGCAGGCTCCCCGCCAAGCAGAGAGCCAATGTGGGGCTCGATCCCAGGACCCTGGGATCATGACCTGAACCGAAGGCAGAGGCTTTAACCCACTCAGCCACCCAGTTTCAAATATTTTTTAACTTTAAATATTTAAAGTATTTAAAATATTAAAAATTTAAAATATTTTTAAACTTAAAAGAGATCCTTTCGTAAAACAAGAGCTGTTATTGGTGTTGCTTTTTAGTATATGTGCTGCCGAAGCGAGCACTTGGTGTTGCTTTTTAATGGGTCTCTTTGAATAAAGGCTCCATAGTTTATCTTTCTTTTTTTTGGAGAGGTTACCTGCTATGAACCCCCACTTCATTCGTAAAGAATGTTACCTGTGTTTCTTTATAAAGTCCATAGCAACATTTTCTGTTAGCCTATCACTATGGGAAAAAATATGCTCCCTTATGGATTTTTAATTTTTTTTTAAGATTTTATTTATTTGTCAGAAAGAGCAAGTGAGCACAAGCAGAGAGAGCAGCAGGCAGAAGGAGAAGCAGGCTCCCTGCTGAGTTGGGAGCCCCTGTGGGACTGGATCCCAGGACCCTGGGATCATAACCTGAGCCAAAGGCAGACGCTTAACTGAGCCACCCAGGCGTCCCCCCCCTTACAGATTTTTAAACTTGGTAACTTTCAGACTCTTAAAGCATGTGAAATTCTTCTGTGGATATTTTATTGCGAAAGAATCACAGATTTAAGGTGGTGGCTCTGTAGGGATGGTGATGATACTGATTGAATAGGTCTGCAGGGATTCCTGCCTCCACAAGGAAAACTTGTGGTTATGTGGAACCTGCTTTGAAGTTTCAGATTTCCATTTACATCACGTGTGTTTGAGGTGTTAGACGTGGTGAGGACTCGCTGAATAGGCAAGTTAGAAATATGGGCCATATGGTAGGGTTGGGTGATACCGGGATGGGGTAGAGCAAACCTGACAGTAGTTAGTGGGGGAGGGGGATGAGTCAAATTTGCAGAATGACAACTGTCAGAGCCCCATATAGACCCAGGTGTTCTCTAAATTGCTGCTGAATTAATTAATTGGACTGCCCATCTGAGAGCCCTCTTTTAGGGGTGAGATTATTTGGAGTGGAGGGATTAGCATTGGACTTTTTCCTGGCTGATAAGTTGCAAATGATTTGCCATTATTTACCATAGTATCTCACAATACTTTGTGTTTTTTACTTTATGTGTTTTTTTAAATTTACTCCTAAAACCACTTTTTAAAAATAGTAGGCCTGCTGCCTCCTTTTTTGCATTCTATAGAAGAGTGTGTGTTAGCTGACTTGGCCCAGAGCAAAAGATGAGTTTCTTGAGCAATCAGCAAACCTCAGGCCATTTGTTAAGCTTTCCCAAAGAGAAGTTTGAATTGTTTTTCTTCTTCGAAAACTTTATATGGCATGCAATTTAATTTTTGACAAGGTGAAAGCCTGCTTAGAAAAAACTTAGCAGATGCCAAGACATTAAGGCAAATTCCTGAAAAATTATTGCATTTGTACCATCTATTCCATTAAAATGTAAGGGAATCTTGGAAAGTTCAAAACATTGATTTGATTACCAAAAATGCAGTTAGAAGGAAGTGAACTATTTATATTCCCAGGATAATGTTGCCTTAAGACGGTTAGTCTTCTGCAAGAAACTTTTAAACTAGTTACAGGTACTTCCTACAACTACTCAAAACAACATCCTAACCGTTAGAGATTACCTCTGATTTAAGACTTCATTGCAGGGTCTCTAGGGCCGCCGACCTATCTCTGTGTCTGTCTTCCTGTAATTAAAGATCAGTAAGAAAAGAAAAAAAAATTAACCTAATTTCTACAACAATTGATTAATGAGAAGCAAATGTTACATGTTTGGTTTGTGATAGTTATACAGCAATAGTCAGTGATTTATAAGTCGTGGCTTATGAAGCTATTAAAAAATTAATTACCCCCAAAGAAATCTAAGAAAAATGCTTGAAAGTCATTTATTATAGTAGTAGCCATTATTAATGTATGTTTCTGTCAGAGCTTTAGTCAAAGTCCAAATAGAACCCACGGAACTAGCTTAAAAATATGATTTCAGGAATCACCATGAAACTCTTTTAAAAAACTAAAAGGTGTTAATTTGAGGTTGGAATCGCATATTGCAAGGCTCACGGGCCCATCTCCCCCGCCCCCATCTCCCCCGCCCCCTTGACTCCTCCAGCAGGCTTCCCCTCTTCATTTGCATTCATCATCCTTTGTAGCTAGCACCTTCCATATTTGCCTCTTATGTGTCCCTTCCCTTGCTGCTGCTCTTAAAAGAAGAGACTGCCTTTTCACACGTAGTCCTTCCACCTAGTACAGTATCAGGTTTGCAATGATCTTTATTGAATGAATGAATGAGTGAGTCACTCTTATCTATAAAATCGCTACCCAAACTAAATAAGTGAGTTGAGCAAATTTGAAGCGAAGAAAGAAGCCTAGGCTCGAAAGACCAGTAATCTGTTTTCAAATCCTTTTTTTGTTTCAGTTTTTTGGAAATAAAAAGAGCTCTGAAAATGAAACTTACCAACCTTTGTTTTTAGAGTTAGCTCTGATTTATTCTTCATTCATCAACACGCCCCACAAAGTCACTTTGGTTTTGTTGGGGTTTTTTTTAATGCTATTTTTTTTTAAAGATTTTATTTATTTATTTGTCAGAGAGAGAGAGCGCGTGCGCGAGCGAGCACAGGCCAACAGAGTGGCAGGCAGAGGCAGAGAGAGAAGCAGGCTCCCTGCCGAGCACGGAGCTTGATGTGGGACCCTGGGATCATGACCTGAGTGGAAGGCAGCCGCTTAACCAACTGAGCCACCCAGGCGTCCCTTGTTGGGTTTTGTTAGGTAGTGCTTGGTATCTTTTTTAAGCCATTCTTTCCCAGGGTTATAGTCCCGGGTTGTCTGATTTGTTAATCCTGTTACAGTCAGTGGTGCTCTTGATCAAGAATTTCATGAATTTCCTTTTCAGTATAACTTCTAACTAGAGTGCTCTTTCCAGTCATTTCCTCCTCCCTTCTTTTCCACAGTCTGTTCTGCTTCCCTGTGCCACCGCAGAAGAACAATGAGAAATTCCTAGGGAGACCTTTTGCCCAGTTTTGACTCTGAGCTCTTAGCGCATTATCTGGGTAGGTTAAGTTCCCTGGTGGGGACACAGGACAGCCAGGATTCCTCACACACTCAGAAGGCCTAGGAGTCTGCAGAATTGTGTTTTGGTTATTCTAAAATCCAGGTCACTTACTTTTTTTTTTTCTTTCTTTTTTTTTTTTAAATATTTTATTTATTTATTTGACAGACAGAGATCACAAGTAGGCAGAGAGGCAGGCAGAGAGAGAGGAGGAAGCAGGCTCCCCGCTGAGCAGAGAGCCCGATGCAGAGCTCGATCCCAGGACCCTGGGATCATGACCTGAGCCGAAGGAAGAGGCTTTAACCCACTGAGCCACCCAGGCGCCCCTAGGTCACTTACTTTTGACATGTCTCTTGGTAGAGATTAAGGTAGGGGATGAACTATGTATACTGTCACTCATAGTCCCCTCCCCCCACCTCCCCTGTGCACATAAACCACCTCTCCTGGGCAGGCAGAGGAAAGGGTTG